CAGCTGCCTTAGCTCCTGCAACTACTCCTTCTGTTAATCCAAAAAAAAAATCTTGTTAATTAGCAAAAGAAAGAGCATTAAGAGATAAAAATGTTTTTTTTCTTGGCATAATTACTTATGTTAATTAAGATTAATGCAAACCAAATCCAAATTAATTTTTTGAAGAACAAAACACCAACTTATTATTTTCTTGTTCTTTTTTCCTTTTATGTATCACCAACTCATGAGCCTTGACCGTCTAATCACTAGTGTGATGCATTAAGCCATATGGACCACGTTTGGGCCAGTTGTTCAAAGTAAAGCCAGGAAAAAGGGTTCCTGGGTTATGGATCACGGTCCCCAAACAGTGACCAGAGATAGCAGACCCAGCTTTATCCATTTTGATTAAGGCTGTTTCCATTTTCCCAATTTGGTAAAAAAGAATACCTTTTTTGATGCATACACTGCTCTTGTCAGCATACCCAGAAAGAAACTAATCAATACAATCATATCAAATAATTAAACCACTCTTGATGTTTTCTTTAACTCCAAATTAATCAATTAATTGACTAATTACCCCACAACCCAAATTATTTCAAAACGTATAAGCTTCCTTTTTGTTGAAAAAAAAAAAAAAAAAAGAGGACCCAACAAAAGCAAGTTGATGAAGAACTCCTTCAGTCACACAGAAAGTGAAACCCACAAAAATGTAAAAAGGAAAAAGAAGAAAAGGGTTACCATGAGCACAACGCTTTGCCATGGAGAGCCTTTGGTCAAGCGAAGCCAATGTGTTCCTTTCCAGAGGGGACTCAACTTGGAAATCCTTAGGCGCCATTGATGATTTAATGTGAAATTTAAAGGAAACCCAGAAGATTTTTTCTAGTGAAAATGGAAACCCAGAAGAGAGAATTTAATTTGAGACTTCAATTGTTTGGATTGAGGAATTTGTGAAGGCTTTAGTGGGTATTTATAGTGAAAAAAAAAAAAAAAAAAAAAAAAAAAAAAGTTGGAATGGTTAGTGGAGCTTTGTGTGTGTTGTTTCATGTGGGAGGAGAGAATTTGATGGTTTCATGTGAATTCCAGGGTCAGAGTCGCCTGTTTTCACTTCGGTTTCTGTTGCAGTCGGTTGATTCTTTACCTCTCTTCCCAATATACCACTGATAATTTCCAAATATTATATTTTTATGAATTTAATACAAGGGTGATCTGGTAATCTCAGCAGACCCTGACAAATCCAGTACATATCTAGAAAACCTGGGGTATCTGTATATTTATATCTGGATTTTCTCTCTTTATCCCACTAACTTTCTCAAATTTACACAAAAAACCATAAAACTGTCCTGTTTTTATAAAAAACAAAAATTAAGATGCTTTTTAGAGCCTCTTTTTTCACACACTGGAGGTTGAAAGGCAGAACCGAAGCCAGTGGGTTTGATGGAAAGCTGCCCTAAAAACCATGGGTACGAATGATCCTTCAGTTTCAGTTCCCCAAACCCATCACCCGTGAGATGGTGACGAGTGTCCCCAACCAAGGGCTGAGATTTACAGGGCACAGAAGACTGTGTTTTGATGGTTTCGTTGGTTGGTGTTAAGTGGGTGGGCAGTGTTTTCTGCTGGGTTTGGTTTGCTCCCTCACTTTTTACTTGCTTTCCTAATTTCTTCACATGTCTAGTTTTGTTTGGTAATTTAATTGAATTCTATGGCTTACATTTTTTTTCTTCTTCTAATCATGGTAGAAAAGTACTTTATGTATTGCAATTGGAGTTTATAAACATAAAGTAAAAAGGAAAAAAATTTGATCTTTACATATAAAATTTTGAAAAGGAAATTTAAAGGAGTGAAGAGGGTAATGATTTTGTTATTAGAAAGGTAAATATCCCTTAAATTTAGGGGTAAGTAGGATCAAGTGCAAATTAATTAGTAATTATGCAAGTTAAATTCTATGTAATCATGCATGGAATTATTAGGGATTAGAAAATTAATATTAATTATTTATAGCTATTATAATTGGGATTGTACCACAATGTCATGAGAGGACTTAGCTTTTGTAACGTGCTCTTTATGTTTATACCTCATATATTACAAATTGATGGGTTAAATGTCAAATGATTTCGATGGACCAAAGCGACACATGAATTTCATCCGATTAATAACTTCCTCTAAATTGTAATCCCAACAAACCCTTTTTTTTTTTATGTATATGATATACAAAATATATAGAATTCAAAATTTTACTTTTCTTCATAATTTTCTCTGTAAAATTTTATTCGTTAAAGAAATTTAACTGTATAAAATATTCTTTCCGTCTGTTTATATCACGATTTGTTGGAATTAACTTTAATTTGATTATCACAACCTTATTAAAATACCAATGAGTTAAATTTTTAATCTCATTGAATTGAGTATTATAGATCAGTTACCTTCGATTTATACTACGCTAATAGAGTGACAAGTTTTGTATGTTTAATAAATTTTAAATTCGTGATTTTCAAGTAAACTGTAATAATATTAGTTACTATAGTAACATGTTGATGGTTAGTACAAATTATAATGATCATTTAAAATTTGTAGTTAATATATACTTTTAGTATAACATAAAGTATGTTGGTATATAATTAATAGATTTAACCTTTCCATATAGCTCATAGGCTACACCATGTAATTAATATTTCAAATACATCTATTATTTGGATTAATAATCTCCTTAGAGAAATATTTTAATAACCACACAAAAATAATGAATAAAGATATTGAAAATTTTATCCATAAGCACTTCATTGTCTAGTTCGATTCTTCCAATATTTAAAGTAAAATATAAATTTTTCCAAGTGTGTCTATTTTTCTTAGTTATATATTATTATTTCTTAATTTTTTTGTATAAAATTTTAGTTGATAAAATTAAGCGTCAACTAAATACTAACTAATTAATTAATAAGATGTTACATTGTGATTTGATAGTTAAATGAGGTACTGAGATTAAAACGATATCATCTTATGATACGGAGTTGAATGAATTGCTTAGAATAAATAGTAACCCGAATTTTATTTCAATTGAACTACTCTAACATGCCTTAGCAAGTGAAAATATCAAAAGCTTAGATTATAAATTTTTTTTTAGGTGATATTTAGATGCGTAATATAAGTTGACCTAGTTCGATGGACATATTAACTACGGTATAACATTTAAAATAATAATTTATACTTATAAAATTAGAAAAGTAAAGAAATAATTTTATTACGTAGAGTATACCATTTTACTTATTATTTTTATTATGGAGAACGCAAATTGAAGAATTCACGAATATGAAAAAAAGTCAAATCCTAAAGAAAATAGCTCGTGGTAAAAACAAGATGGACTTTGGCAAGATATGGTTGAATTTTTTTTAATTCGGTCTTCACTTTGTAAACTTGATAAAACGACTTTGCTCCTCGGTTTTATTTAATTATAAATAACTAACTACTTTGACGAAGATTTGTAGCATTATTCAAGTAAATATAGGTTGAGATCATAGAAACATGAGCTTGTGACATAGCTAACCTAATTATGAATCGGTCAATGCAAAAAGTACGAGTAAAAGACCAGGATCTCGTATAAAATATAAAAGATCGTTCATACATAAATAGTTCAAGCGAAGTTAAAATCTTTACCGAACTATGAATAGTCATCATATTTTTAAATAACGTATTTCTGAGTTTAACGCACAGAAACAATGAGGAATCAACTCTTAAAAAATGTGTTAACGACAGTGGGACCAACACATCATTATATTATGCAATTTTCGATAGGAGAATACTCTTATTTTTTTCATTTTACGAAAACACTAACGAGTGATTAATTTTATATTACCACGTGTATCGTACTGTTAATTACTATATGCTCGATATATTACGTCATGTATAATAAATTTTTTAAATATATAATACAACACATAAATGAGTTATTTATATCCAAGTTCAACAACATATTGAAAAACAAAATCAAATACGAAAAAGACATTTGATGTTCTTATCGCACCTTGAATGAGATGGAGACCTAAAACTCTCAAGATATTGTTGTTATAAATGCAATAAAGTGAAGTCATAAGCCGTAGATAGATATAGGTCCTACCACAATAAGGTATATACAAACTACATTTATAACCTAGTAAGAGAAACTTTGTTGATTCCCATAAACTTCGATTATAAATAAGTCAAACTAAATTTCTTTGTTTCTTTGCACGAACATGAAAATGTCTATATATGATAATTTATAAACTTTGTATTCTTTCTAGAAATACATATATATACACACACACACACACATAAAAATTGAAGAAAAAAAAAAAAGAGAGTTTCCTATCGTTATAGAATTTTAATGAACTACCATAATCAATCAATAACATAACATGAAAGGTGGTGTAGGGTTAGAAGAAGCAAACTCAACCACCAAGGTTGAAATACATACATACATACATACATACATACATATATATATATATATATAATAGAAATAGGCCTCCGTTTTCAAACGAGCCATTATGAATTTATGATCGTCATTTTCAAAAAAAAAAAAAAAACAACGGGCATCGAACCAAACCATTGCTTCATGTAATTTTATCTACCTATTTGTAGTAGTAGTAAAAATTGTGCATTTCAATTCTTAATTACATTTTAAATTCACTATAAGTCAAAATTTTCGACATGTTAATATTAGTTTTCTCACACCCATTAATTTCTTTTGTAAATAAACAAGAACAAAACTATGTTTCCTCCCAAAAAAAAATTAAAAAAATAATAATTATTATTTATTTATTGATATTTTAAGCTCTTTTTTTTTTTGTTTTTTTGTGGGTTGGTGGCGGTCATAAAATTGTGTCCTTTGGTTTTTATTACCCTTGTCGGTGAAAGAAAATCAAAATCTGCAGGCAACTTCAAATAATAATTTATCACGACATAAATAAACGAAGGAAAAAATATTTCACTTTCTCACCCCATAACTTTTCAAATTTACAATTTTCAACCCCCTCCCCTCCCCCAACCTATGCACTCGAGTACTGCACCATCCTGCAACAGTGCCCGCGTGCTCCCTCTCTGCATTTCTGATCCAAGATGACATCATTTTCCTTACCCAATTTTCGGATCCATTTTTAATTAATTTTTTCCCCTATTATATAAATAAATATATATATATATATGTATGTATAATAATTTGAAGTTGACCCATCTACTCTGACTAAATTTTCCATATATATATATATATATACGGTCTTTGTCATCTGACCCAATTCCAATAAATTAATTTCACATATTATATATTAATTAAAATAGACTATTATTTTGTAGATTATTATTAATTCATATATATATATATATATGTGTGTGTGTGTGTAATTATGCATGGCAAATTTATGTGATGGTAGTCAATATAAATGTGTTAATTTATATTTTAATAAAATGAAATATATATTATATGTTATTAATGCATGATGAAATTTATTAATATTTTAAATAAATTTAAAAATATTATTCTGTGTTATATATACATAATCAATCTTAAGGTTTTATATGCAATATGATTTAACAATGTACTCAATTGTTATTATCATTCATTTCAAAGTGGTCCACATTTACAATTATATACCTCTTTTACATATGCTTTATTTTACACATGTTATACACTATATATATATATAATATGTTTTACTATTTTATAAAATTTTAAAATAAAGAGTATTTACTATCCACATGTTATATACCCAGACAAGCTTTATTACGGATCCTCATGCTCTGCCCTGACTCAGTACGTACATATATATATATATATATATGTATATGTGTATACATGTATATACTTATTGAATAAATTCAAATTACTTTCTTCTCTGCCTTTTGTTTGGAAACCCAGAAAATTAAATACCCATAATAAGAAAAAAAGTGATTTCTATTTTGTTTTCTCATATATTATATACATATATATATATATTATTTTCTTCAATCGGTGAAAACGACAATATTGAAAGTGCTCATACGTGAAAAAGTTGACATGGGCTTGAAATTTTTTGTTTTTCAAATTTATTAAATTTTTACCTCCATTGATGAGGAGTCATAATTGCCACCACATGAGTTCATAGCCTTCTCGTGAGGATCACATTGGAACAATTATGATTTTATTGGAGCCATCACGTAAATAATTAATTTATTACAAATAGATTAATTAATTTAATTGATTAATTACTAAATTTAGCTTAATTAAGAATTATTGAGAAGCATGGGAAACAGTTATCTTTCTCATTAATTAATTAATTAGTAGGAAAAACAGAGGAAAACAACGACTCTTGTTTTTTAGTATCCTGCATGATTTTCTTTTTTTTTTTTTTTTGTTTGTTTCCTGTTTTTTTTTTTGCTCTAAAATTATATTTACATTTTACAGTTAGAAGTAATCAAAATGATGAGAGATCTGATACGGTGCGTCTCTCTGTTTCTTGCTTAGCTTGGGCAAGTTACTTCCGATTCTGCAATGGCGATCGCCGGGGACTTCTGGCGGCTTCACAGACCGAATCAAAGCCCAGTTTACTCCTTTAAAAAACTCGTGCCTTTTGATCTCCACAGACCCTCTTAAGTTCCCGATCCGCTTCTTCGGATTCTTCACCAACAACCTACTTATCAAGTCTTGAACTTTGACCATCTCGTCGTACTCTCTGCTGCTACTCGCAGAAACTCTCGGGAACGTCAATGGCTGCTTGAGTATGTTGATTAGGGTTTCTCGTTGTTTTCTCCTTTAAAGGGTGTCCGACCGTAAAGCATCTCGTACAAGAACACACCGAGAGTCCACCAGTCGACTGCACTTCCATGTCCTTGTCCTGATATCACCTCCGGAGCTAAGTACTCGTGGGTTCCCACGAAAGATTTGGATCGAGCATTAATGGGTTCCGCCACCAGCTCCGGGTTTTCAAATCCTTGCCGATGATTATTATCGCGGTCGTGATGATCCCCGCGGCGAATTTTCTCATCGTCGACGTGCTCTGTAATGGTCGTGGTGATGACTCTGTTTTTCTTGTTTCTGGTTGACGCAGAGAAGCAAGACAGCACAGGCTGTATCGGCGCGGCGCATGTCGGAGTTGAGCATCTGGTGATATATTTATCGTCGTCGTCGGAGACGGAGACGGGGGGTTTTTGCGTTAAAAGTTTTGGAACGACGTCGCATTTGAAGGAGAGATCGAAATCTGAAAGCATAACGTGACCGTCTTCTCTGACAAGCACGTTCTCTGGTTTAAGATCTCTGTAAACTATACCCATCATGTGAAGATACTCTAATGCTAATAGAGTTTCAGCAGCATAAAACCTGCACATTTTCCCATATATTGATAAATTACGGTAAGCTTTTTTATCATCTTCAACGTAAAAAGGAGGAAGAAAAGAAAAGTAACTACTGTCTAAACCATCAAATCTAAGACAGAGACATTATAATTACAATATAAAACTTACTTAGCGGAAGAGATGCTGAAGCGTTTTCCTGGTTGGCGTTGTCTGGCGGCGTATAAGTCTCCGCCAGGACAATACTCCATGACCAAACAGGAATAGTGAGAAGCTTCGAACTCTGCATACAAAGTTGGTAAAAATGGGTGATCAAGCATACCCAGAATCTCCTTCTCCATCTCAGCTCTCTGCAACTTGTTCCTTATAGCAAGCGCTTCTCTATCCACCACTTTCATGGCGTAAAAGCACTGAGGCAACCCAACAACCGGGTTCCTTATCTGGCAGAGATAAACATTCCCTATATCGCCGCTTCCTAGCCGACGCAGCAGACGGAAATGGTCGAGCCCAACTCGTCCCTTGGTGTAACGGAGACGCCTCATGGCCTCCCACGCGGCCTGGTTCGCCTTGTGCGGCTTATGGCCTCCCCCAGGACCGAACAAGAAAGAGGAAATCTGGTCTTGGCCGTGAGGTGCAAAAGAGGAGCTGCAGAGGGAGATGGAGCTCCGGCGACTCCCAAAGCTTAGGTTGCTCATCCAGCTCCGGCTGGATTCCGGCACGGTTATTGAAGAGGAGCTACTGTCGTAGTCTGACTCATCTCTGTTGGTTATGGCTGCCATTGTCGTCGTCTTCGTTGTTGGTGGTGGTGGTGGTGGTGGTGGCGAGTGCGCATGGAATTTTGAAGGGTTTCTTCTCTTTAGGTCTTAGGCTCTGGTCAGGCTTTTTATAAATATTTATACAGCAGGCAGTCTCCCTTTTGGTGGGTTTTGTTTTGAGCACATGAAATTTTTTCATGTACCAAAATTATAAATATAAGTAAATTTTGGGATCAAAGAAAGTAAGCTTTTGTAATTAGCTAATTTAGTATAAAAACTTTAGTTTATAAAGTACATGTATTTTAGACCTTATATTTATTTCTCTAAAAAAAAAACCCTTCCTTTCCCTCTGTATCACAACTTTGCCCCTACCATGCTACATCCTTAATTCTTCATTAATTTTTAATTAACACCAACTTTAAACCCACCTTCTCATTAACTTCGTATAAGTTACCAATAATAAAATGATTAAGAAATATATACATACAAAATTTAAGAACCCATAAACATAATTTACCTTATTTTAAATTAAGAAAATTATAAAAATAAATGAATTGACTTAAATTTATTTTTAATTTTTTAATTTTATTTATAGTCTTATAAGAACTATAAAAGAAGCTTTTGATTATTGGGTTAAGCATGCTATACTTCACTGACATAACCACTAAACTTTGTTGTTTCAAAAGTGAGTTCCAGAGAGGAGATTAATATTCAAACAATATAATTATAATTATAATTGTAATTAGTATTTCAAAAGAGTATAATGACTCGTTTTCTCTTTTACCTTATCCCTAAGAAGATTTGTACACTCATTATGTATATTTAATTTACATTTATATAAATATTATTAATTATTCCTATTTTATAATATAAATTAATTTATTAAAAACAAAAGAATTATGGCTTTTTGAAGCTGACGGAGCGACGGTCAAAAGCTCTTATTCTTTTCTGCCGAAAAGCTCCCGCACCGAATTCTAGATGCGGTTCCCAAGCCAGCAATTATAGCACTAATCCGTTTTTTAATCTTAATTAATCAAAACGACGACAGTTTGAACCCAAAACGACAGCACTAATCTTCCATCTCTCACCCGGTCAAACCTTGCTTTTGAATGGTAGTTAGGTGATGCGTTAAAAGAATTTGCCTGAGCAGTAAAATAATTGATGAATTAGTTTTTTTTTTGTCAGTTTATAAAATTTTGGTTTTAAAGAATATTAAATGAAGCCACGTTACCTTGCGGTGCATGAAACACCCGTGCCCCCAAAACTTTATTTCAGGCTTAAAATATGTTTTTATTAACTAATAAAATACAGTAAATTTACGTATATCACGTATATATATATATATATGTATGATATAACTTTTATGATGTTGTTGTGATGCATGTGAGTCCAAAGTATAGGAGGTCCATTATTAATGACCTTTACACGTACCACTAAGGTACTTAGCAATTGGGTATTCAAAGTATAATTGATTGGAACGGTTCAACATTTAAAATGTATTCTTTTTATAATATATATATATATATATATATAGATATAGATATATATTGATCTCACAAGAAGCCTGTTGGGTAAACAAAATGGTATCCGAGATTAATTTTTAATTAGCACTAATTTTTCAAATTAATCTCTTAATTAATAATTATATAAATTACCATATATTTTGTTTTGTCTAATTATCTCGTTAATAATAATAATAATAATAATAATATGAAAAGGTAAATGATGGGAAAAAATAGGAAAAAGGAAAAAAAAAATAAAGTGAGAGTAAATGATGGGATGATTTCTATATACATTTTGAAGAAAAGGTAATGTGAGAATCATTAATAGAGATTGGTATAAAAAAAAAAAGAAATTCATAATCAATTCCATCATGTAAAGATATATATATATATATATATATTATATATGAACACCCTTTTCAGCAGTAGGTAGATCACAGGAACCTAAAATCAGTCCATCAAATTTTCCCATTCCTAATTACAGCATCATCTTGTTGGTCCATATATCTAATTAAGAATAATAATGTCAAAATTTTCAATATGTATAGATATATATACTTAATTTTATGATGGGGGAATTGGGATTTGATTTGATTTGAAGTAGAAATTGTAGGAAGATCATTCAAAGTCTTGTCCTTTATAAGATGGGTTTTTTTTTTTGTAGTTATATAAATAAGAACCATGTGAGAGATTTTGGTTAATTTATATTTGTCACTTGAGAATATACATATACATATACATATATATATATATATCTTCTTCTTCTTCTTCTTCTTCTTCTTCCTTTCTTTCAATGCTCCACTTTTCTGTGCAAAATCTTATCGGTTTCACTTTTGGTTGCAAGTTTAGGCTGCAGAGGCAGCAAAATTTGCAGTGGTGGAAAGTGGCAAACACTTGGGAATTCTCAATCCTCCATCACTTGCCCCATACATTCTTCTCCCCATTACCAAAGTGACAATCAATCACTTCTTTTTGTTTCATTTATCTCCACCTACTCCCTCCCTCTCTTTCTATATTTATGTATATATATATATATATATATAGAACTAACTATATCATAACAAGAGTGTTAACAAAAATGATAAAAATTCTTCAACAAATTAAAAAAAAAACATATTCTAAATTTCACCAAATTTTAAAATTCATTTGTTCTTGTTCTATATAACCTCAATTTTTACGCCATCGTAACACAATTTATCTTTCTCGACTATAAATAAATTTCATATTATTATAAGTACTAAATTGATCAGATTCAAATCTTAAAACTGTAAAATCAAGACGAATGAACTACAAAATGATATAAATATTTACGCTTAATAATCTTTTTTAAGTATTAAGATTTGATTTAAACGAGTATTAGATCCTAATAAATAAAGTAATTAGGTATGTGTAATAAAATATTATTTTTTCTTTAAATAAACATCACCATTAATCATAAACTAATCTAAAAATATCTTGTTGAAGTAGAAAAAAATTAAGAAATTACGAGATTACGTTACAATAAGGTCTCAATTAAGTAATTACATTGCTTTATTTATTAGAATATATACAATCTGATTAAAGTTTCTAAAAATTACTAAAATAAAAAAAAAAAACTAAAATAAGTACTTTTAAAAAATAACCTTAAACAAGCAATTCTAATTTAAAAACTATTATATTAAATAAAAAAATATCATTAAAAATAATTTGAGTCACTTTTTATAATAACATGTTGAATTCTTATTTCAATATATACCTTCATATTATATAATAGTGCAAAATTTTTTGGTATATTCGTACTTCTTATATTTGATTAGCATATAATACATGCAAAAAAAAAATCACTATCTTAACTTATACAAATTACTCCAAGTCTCATCCATTCACCTCTCCTTATGGAAGTTTGATTGAATGATCATGTTTAAACTTTTAGATCAAGTGCAATTGTGCAACATGAAACTCTATTTACCATTGTCGAAATAGCTCAGATTAGTTGAATTAACGTGTATAATATATGCATATATATGTATCTATATTATAAGGTGAAATATCGATATACAGATATTTGGGGAATATGCATACTTACATATTACATATTCTACACATGTAACGGTTACTAAAATGAAAAAAACAATAAAAGGCAAGATGAAAAAAGAAGAAAAAAAAAAAAGGAACGAACAAAGGGAGACATGTAAACTGGAGGCATGTAGATTGATGGTTTCTTCTCCAATAATGTGAAGAAGAAATTAATCAAACAGATGAAAATGGAGAACTGACAATCCAACCCTAAAAAAGTTTTTAAAAAATTGCAAGTACAAAATGGGGTTTTATTTAATTTTAGTTGGAGACAATTGATGGCATAAATTTCAGAGCAGAAAGAAAAAGAAAGTAGAGGAAATTGAAGAGAGATATGGATGCATACACTTAGAAACTGTGTATGATCTTTTCATGTTCTTCATTTTGGTGATGTGCCAGAGACATGGCATCATGGGCATGCAGCTTTCGAATTCATGGCGGTCCAATGCATCATCTCTTTTGTTTGCATGCAATCTTGTTTTCTTTACAAAATAATAATAATAATAATAAAATTCTTTCTAAAGTTGCATCCAAACAATGTCTTGAGCTTTGCAGACTGCGAAAGATATATAGGAGCATAATATATATATATATATATATATAAATTAAAAGATTAAGATCTAAATTTGTTTAATAGAAAACAAATTTTATTATATTATGGAAAAACTACTCAAACTTGTTTAGTTCTATATATATATATATATATTTCATTAACAAATAAAACTAATATCAACACCAGATTAAATAATTCTAGTTGTTTTGATTGAATTTGTAATTACCCTTCTATCAGTTTTGAGAAATAATTTTAAAAATAAGTAAAATTAAACTTTTAAATTAATTGAAAAAAATTATTTACTGAAAAACACAATTAATTTACCATCACAGAAAAAAAAAAAAAAAAAAAAACTATTAATGTTTGGTACGGGATGATATTAAAGTTTTAAAACTGATTATATGAGAGATAAAATTAGCTAATATGGTGTGAATGGTAATACGACATAGTTGGAAACAAGAACAAAGAAGATAATATATATGGATTAAAATAGCAGATGAGGAACCATGCATGATCCTCTATAAATGGAGGCATGAAAAGCTGATTGTTGCCTCAAATCAAACTCAACAAAATCCTTTTGCTATCTCACTATGGATCCATACAAGAACATTCCATCAAGTGCTCAAAATGCCAAATTTTGGACGACAAACTCTGGAGCTCCTGTATGGAATAATAACTCTTCATACACAGTTGGAAAAAGAGGTCCAATCCTCCTTGAAGATTACCATTTGATCGAGAAGCTTGCCAACTTTGACAGGGAAAGAATTCCAGAACGTGTTGTTCATGCTAGGGGAGCTAGTGCGAAAGGTTTCTTTGAGGTTACACACGACGTCTCATCTCTTACATGTGCTGAATTTCTTCGTGCTCCTGGAGTTCAAACACCTGTGATTGTTCGTTTCTCTACTGTTATCCATGAAAGAGGCAGTCCTGAAACCTTGAGGGATCCTCGAGGTTTTGCAGTGAAGTTTTATACCAACGAGGGAAATTTTGATCTTGTTGGAAATAATTTCCCAGTCTTCTTTGTCCGTGATGGAATGAAATTCCCAGATATGATTCATGCTCTAAAACCTAACCCTAAGTCTCATATCCAACAGAATTGGAGGATCCTTGACTTCTTTTCTCACCATCCAGAAAGCTTGCACATGTTTACTTTCCTCTTTGATGATCTTGGTATTCCACAAGATTACAGACACATGGAAGGTTCGGGTGTTAATACTTACATTCTTATAAACAAGGCTGGGAAAGCACATTATGTGAAGTTTCATTGGAAACCCACTTGTGGAGTTAAATGCTTGTTGGAAGAAGAGGCAATTCGAGTTGGAGGATCGAATCACAGCCATGCAACTCAGGATTTGTATGATTCAATTGCAGCTGGTAACTATCCTGAATGGAAACTTTACATTCAAACTATTGATCCTGATCATGAAGACAACTTTGATTTCGACCCACTTGATGTAACCAAGATTTGGCCTGAGGATATCATTCCTCTGCAGCCAGTTGGTCGCCTAGTCTTGAATAAGAACATCGACAACTTCTTTGCGGAGAACGAACAACTTGCATTTTGTCCTGCTATTGTGGTTCCTGGGATACATTATTCAGCTGATAAACTTTTGCAAACTCGAATTTTCTCCTATGCTGATACTCAAAGGCATAGACTTGGACCGAATTATTTGCAGCTTCCAGCTAATGCCCCCAAGTGTGTTCATCACAACAATCACCATGATGGTTCCATGAATTTCATGCATAGGGATGAGGAGGTCAATTACTTTCCTTCAAAGTATGATCCGGTTCAACACGCTAAGAGGTTTCCTGTTCCTTCTAACATCCTTACTGGAATGCGCGAGAAGTGTGTGATTGAGAAGGAGAACAACTTCAAACAACCTGGAGAGAGATATAGATCTTGGGCACCAGACAGGCAAGAACGATTTATCCGAAGATGGATTGAGGCTTTATCTGATCCGCGACTCACTGATGAAATTCGAAATATATGGATCACTAACTGGTTGCAAGCTGACAAGTCTCTGGGTCAGAAATTAGCAAGTTCACTGAATTTGAAGCTGCCATAAAAGTGAAATATTTTGGTTTGGAAGGGAAAGAAAAGACTAAGTACATAGCAAATGATAAGATAAAATAAACTTAGATTTTCTGATATAACACCAAGTGTCGTGTGACACTATAAACTTGATGCTTGGATATAATAAAACTTGTTTTCTATATAAGTTATTAAATAATTGATATTATTAGCCAATAAATATTAATAAATAAATTATGTTATTTGTTTATTTCTGCAAATTATAGAATTTTTTACTAAGATTTTGTTTGGAAAAAAAATTTAAAAATTTTATGGAAATTGTTTGCAAATTTAAATGTAATTTAACTACAATAATGTAAATCATATTAAGACAAATTATAATAATTTTGTAGAAAGTTTTGTGTGAAATTATAAGTACATTTCATGTTAATAAAATTTAAAGTATGTTGGATAAATTATAGAATTAATTGTTGACTCAAAAAAAAATCTCATGTGTTAATTAAATTAATTATGAATTTAAAGATAAATTACAAAATTTTAATTTTATTCTTAATAGTGGGTGAAAAATTAAAATATGCCAGATTAATATTAATTTTTTTTTTCAAAAAAAAAAATCTTCAAAATCTCATTATTCAATTTATGTTTCGCTACTCTTGTTTATAACTATTTTTTATGACTTAAAACATATAATTTTTTTTTAAAGAAACAAACACTTATACGTTTGGATAAAATAATCATAAAAACTAAATAATTTTTAATTAAATATATGTATTATAAGTATTTTATTATTTATTTTATGAATATTTTACTAATTCTAAAAATGTATAGAGTGCATAGTGAAGTAAATTAGTTACAAAAAAAAAAGAACTTAAAAGATATATTTTTTATGTTACAAAACGTGAATAATAAACCATAATTAAGATTATAAATATTATTATTTTTATGAATAATAATAATTTTTTTTTTATATTTTTCACTTTTTCGAACAGTTAGTTGGTCACATACTTTTAAATAAATACACTGATAACTTCTTTGCAAAAAACGAATAATTTGTATTTTACTTTATTATTATAAATCTTGAGATATATTATTTAACTGACACTATTGTTGACTCGAAATTTTTTCATACTCTAATACTCAAAGCATATATTTGGATTAAATTATCTACAGCTCTTTATTAATGTTCCCAAATGCATTCTTCATAGCAATCGTTTTGTGAATTTCATGCATATGGACGAGGAGATCAATTACTTCCCTTCCAAATATGATCTAATTCAACATGCTAAGAGTTTCCTTATTCCTCCTAACATCTTTAATGAAATTTGTGAGAAGTATGTGATTGAAAAAGAAAATAAATTTAAACACTACGGAGAAAGATACACATATTAGGTATTAGACATACAAGAATCGTTTATCTATTGGTGAATTGAACCTTTAACTAATGTGTGACTCATTAACGAAATTCGAAGTTTACAGATCACTCATCAGTCATAAATTGACAAGTTTTAGAGTCAAAACTTAGCAAGTTCACTTAATTTGAAAATGACAAAAAATTGATATGTTTATATTTAAATAGGAAGGTAAGAGTATATGAAGAGTAAATGCAGATATGTGCATAAACTTACAATTAGTTTTTTGGATTTTTTGAGTTATACTTATGCAACAAAGTGTCATGTGACACAATAAATTTTGATGTTTCAGATATTTGATAACTAACTTAACAAGAACTAGTAGTTAAATCCCAACTAACAACAACCAATAACTAACTAACTAACTAACTAATTAACAGACTAATTACAATCGACTTCTCCAATTCTTTTACCTGAAAATAATTTTACTGTTTAATCTAGTAATAATAAATTATTAAAATTATTGAAAATATAATTTAACCAGAAAATATCTGAAACAGCAGGCCGTAGCTTATAAAACACGCTTCCTTGTACTGAAAACTTCTTTGCATTCCTTCTCGCTGGTTTCGCTCTCAGCCCACTGTTTCTCTCTCCCTGCTTCATCTTCTTTGGACTGGAAGAGTTACGTGCGTCTCTCGATCGTCGTCGTCTCTTTGTATTCCCTCTCAGGCCACTGGAAATCTTCTTTCAATCTTTTTGTCGTCATCGTCGTCGTTGCTCGCATTGTAACCTTCTGTCTCAGTCGGTCAAGTTCTCTGGAAATCTCTGGGTTTAAAGGACAGCGCCGACTGCCATGAAAGAAGGAAAGTTCGAAATACCGATTATCAAAAGCTCGGAAATCGAGTACGTCAAAGAAATTGCAAGAGGCACATATGGAGCTGTGTACCTGGGCAAGTGGCACGGACTTGAGGTTGCCATTAAGAAGCTGAAGCCAAGCTCAGCGGAAAAGAATGGCGGGGTAAATAAATGTTTCTCATGTCGTGTGTTTACAATATTCTTGAAGAAATTTCTTTTTTCTTGATACATTAGGGTTTAGTGTTTTCTGATTGATCCCCATGTTTCTTGCCCTAATTCTTGAAAACAATCTGCTCGTATTCTTAAATCTCCACCGCCTTATGTGTCTTTGATTTGATAGCAAATTAAACTGTGGCCGTTATCCATCTCTTGGCCCCGCAGGTTTCAGACTTTTGGAGGGAAGCGCTTATTCTATATCATCTCCGACATCCAAATATTGTGAAGTTCCATGGTGTAGTTTCTGATGGACCTGTCACAGACACGGCAACGGTAACAGAGTTCATGGTGAGCGGTTCTCTTGGAAAAGTTCTTGGAAAGAAGGATAGGTAAGAAACCTTATGTTAATATACATATATTATTATATATTCACTTCCAGTTCAAAAATATGAAATACAAAGGCTGATAAAGTCGGAGGATTGTTATCCCGGTCATTATACGTTAATGTTAATATATTAATATACATATGTTATTAATACAGTTATGTCGCAAATCAGCCAGAAAGTTCTTTATTTATTTATGCTTGCTTACCTTTTGATTTATGCTTTCTACTTCTCACTAAACTCTCTGCTTCTCTTTTACAGAACGGTGGATCACAGAAAAAGGATATTAATTGCAATGGATATATCCTTGGGAATGGAGTATCTACATGCCAATAACATTGTACACTTCGACCTAAAATCTGAGAACTTGCTCGTAAATACGAGGAATCCCTTGAGACCCGTGTGCAAGGTATATAAATCGTATTGATTTGGATTTTAACTCTAAATGGTTCAGCCTTATGTTGGTGATGATATCTTCATTTGCTATACATTATTTTTAGCTATTTTTTTTAAAAAAATTTGTTTAAATATAACATTCTCTATGGTTTTTATCTAAATCTTGAAGTTTTGACATTTTAAATCAGATCGGTGATTTGGGGTTATCGTTGCTTAAACAAAACGAAGGAGTCGATATTAGTATGAGAGGGACTCTGTCCTGGATGGCACCAGAGCTTCTGAACAAAAAGAGAAGCTTGGTAACGGAGAAGGTAGGATATGTTTTTATGTTTGGTACAGCTTGCTTATGAAATCACGATAGTTTAAATTTCTTATTAATTATTTCCTATAGGTTGACATCTACTCGTTCGGAGTAGTCATGTGGGAACTATTGACAGGGGAGAGACCGTATGCTAAAATGCAACCAAAGGACATAATAGGTAAAATCATATTATAACTCTTATGTTTTTTACTTGTGGTAACCAACCATATGAATTTGCCCTTTTATGGTACTTGATGGAAAGCTTATGACACTTGTTGCAACTTCTTTTGTTTGCTTGTTTTGTATGCTTTTACTGTACTTATTATGTTTCGAAATATATGAATCATTCCCGTTTGTGAGCAATTTGTCGTTACTTTTACACCTAGTGTTCTCGTTCTTTATTGCATTCTTTAACTGTTATATATGTATAAGCTGTCTTTCTTTTCTTGAACTGAGAAAAACTCATATAACTGAGCCAAACAGTTTGTACTTTTGTCTTTCTGTTTGACATCTCACTCTTCTGGATCCTTAGATTTCTGTGAGAAGTGATTTTATTGAAGCATCTTAGAGATTCTTTCCATTTTCAGTTGTTTCTCTTGTTATAGCAAACATAACCTCTTTGTGAATCAAACAGCTTGTTCCCTATATAATTGTTGATTGATACAAATAGAAGTTTTATCCAAATTTCTGGATGATTGCAGTTGGTGTAGCTGATGGGACTTTAGGACTTGAAATTCCAAGTTGGTGTGAGCCAGGTTGGAGATCATTGATGGAGAGGTGTTGGTCAGCTGAACCTGACTCTAGGCCATCCTTCTCAGATATTGTGAAGGAGCTACAAGGGATGTGTTCAGCGATGAACACTAGGTGACAACAAGGAGTAGGTGGTGAAGAACTCAGTTTCATCTTCAATGTAAAGTCTCAAGCCAGTCAAACCTAATTTTGTTGCTGTTTGCTGGTGTAATTTTGGCATTACGGACTAACCAACTTCAATGTAAATATCCAATTGAAATAAGGAGTTCCCATACCAAATTGACTCAAAAGTGTGGTTTTT